TATTTCAAGACCTGTAGACAGGAAATGTCTCCTCTCTGATGCCTGGAAATCATTTAGAGTACATTTTGGTCTGGAGAGCAGAGTAAAAACGTGTTCAAGCAACACTTAAAAGAATGAACAAGAGGTCAGGATTTTCGGGCTCACATCCCCTTGCTTTGGTGTTTTGTCTGAACCATCTCCATAGGCTGGCCCAGAGATGCAGTTCTCCATTCCTAATTTAATTTCATGTGTTTTCTTGTTCTGCTGCCTGAGATTCAGTTACGAAGCTATGACACCAAATATGCAAACTTTCCCTCTTGTGTGCATGAATCTTTGCCTGTTTTAAGCCACTTAAATAATTTAAATTCCGTTCTCTTCCTTGAGGTCTCCCTTTTAATCGGTGAGCCCTTTTTCTCTACAAGCTTACTGCCATGGCACAATCTATATTTCTGGTACGCCCGGACAGCCCTGGCCCGCCACCTCACGAGCGATGTGACCGTCCTGCCCCAGTCTGCTTCACTTCATGTGATGATCGTGGAGTTTAAGGTAACGATGTCATGTCAGCTTTTGCTTTGTCCCTAATGCTGACTTTCATGTTTCCACAGCTTATCGGAGCTGAACGTGCCCGACAGGTTGAGCAGAAGTGCTTTTTTTGTTGTTGTTTGTGTTTTCTTTGCATGATCGTGGAGTTTAAGGTAAAGAAGCGATGTCAGCTTTTGCTTTGTCCCTAATGCTGACTTTCATGTTTCCACAGCTTATCGGAGCTGAACGTGCCCGACAGGTTGAGCAGAAGTGCTTTTTTTGTTGTTGTTTGTGTTTTTTTTTCTTTGCTTTGCTTTGCCTTGCAAGTGACCAGCTGCTGGTTTGACTGCAGTCAGAGCAGTTTAACAACAGTTGTCTAGAAGGCTCCTCTGTCGAGATACAATCCGCCCATGACAAGTCATACAAATGGCATTGATGACCTGCAGATAAAATAGAGGACTAAAACTTGAAGCTAGTGTGTGTGACTTACAGAGACCCTTCCCATACACAGAGGTGGTTGACCTTTCCCTTCTTCTGGGGGCAGCTTTGGGTCGGTGCAGCTTTTGCCGAAGGCCACCCAGGCTGGCTCTTCTCCTAGCAGGGGCCATCTTCTGACTCTGCAGCCAGATGCCTCACCTCACTGAGCTAGCTAGTCAGCCAAACGTCAAACCCCTCTTCAATGAAGGCGTTTTTCGGTTCCGAGCTGATTTATACCCACGTTCTACTTTCAGTATTAGGATTTAACAGAGAATGAGGGAGTCTCAAACAAATAGCTGTTTTCTCTTACCTGATGTCCACCGTCTACAAGGAGTTAAAAAGACACCATGCAAAAAATATGCTCGACATATGTTTTTCCACTGTATCCCTTGTAACTGGCCCAAAGCAATCCTACCAGATGCCAGTCTCTCGTTACATACACAGTTTGCCACTGGGAAGAGCTCTGCTGACAGAGCAGACAACCTGGGGGTGGAGAGACATCCTGCCGTCTTATCCTTGTGAAGTAGATTTCCCCCCAATTTGTTCTGAAAATGTCTCTTTCTTTACCTTGCCCAGGAATGAAATGCCATTTGTCCCCTCCTCCTGATTTCTTGAGCCAACGTCTTCTTTGAATTGGTTTTAAAACCCAGCATTTTATGTGCAATTTCATTTTGAAATACATGGGAAATGTATTTCAAAATGAAATTGCACATGGGAAAAAACATGTTTCTTTTCTCCTAGGATTTGTGGCGAATCCGCAGCCCGTGTGGCATCTGTGAAGGGTTTGATGTGAGCGTGATGGATGAGATGATCAAGGTGAGCCGATGTATCTGTGACATGCCAAGGGGATTACGGAATTGTTTGCGTGGAGGTGGGTCGTACAGGGTGCCATTCCAGCCACCCTCCGCGTCCAACTCCGCATGGCCTTCTGTTTCGACCATGAACTCGCCCCAGCCCCCAGCCAGATCCCGTGTGAGGTCAGGCAAGAGGAGCTTTTCAGAAGGTCTCCAGCATCTCTGCTTGTTGAAATACTAGGGGGATCGCCTGCCCAGGGCAGAGCAATGCCTTGTGTTGTCCGACTTGCCCGGGGTGACACCCCGAGCAGGGTTTCTCTAGGAATCGTGCTGACCCAGGTCAAGACAAGGCAGACTTGGCGCCTGCCCATCACGTAGGTGACCAGATACCGGTTGAACCTTGAGAGGGAAAAGCATCCAACACTTCTGCAAGAGGGTGCTAATAAACACACTGCGTAAGTTATAAGCCTGGAGTGCCCGAGAAACCATGCCCAGCAATGGCTGGCTCCCTTTCATTTGGTGCCTGCCAATGGTGTGAGAGACTCTGGAACTTGGGTCATCTTCAGCTTGCAGCCTGCCTAAAAGTACATCATCAATATTATCATCATTCCAAAACACCAGGTACAGCCAATCACAATTATAAAAACATTGACTGGGATTCTATAACACAGTGGTCCCCAACCTGGGGCCTCCAGATGTTCTTGGACTACAACTCCCAGAAGCCTTCACCACCACCTCTGCTGGCTAGGATTTCTGGAGGCTGAAGTCTAAGAACATCTGGAGGCCCAAGGTTGGGGACCACTGCTATAACAGATGCAAGTTTTAACCAAAAAACTAAGTACAGTGGTGCCCCGCATAGTGACGATAATCCGTGCAGCAAAAATCGCTGCAAAGCAATTTCGTCGCTATGCGGTTTTTAAAAGCCCATAGGAATGCATTGAACCCCTTCAATGCGTTCCTATGGGCTTAAAACTCACCTTTAAGCAAAAATCCTCCATACGGCGGCCATTTTTGCTGCCTGGTAAGTGAGGAATCCGGGCGAAAACACAGCGGGCGGCCATTTTACCCGGCGGCCATTTTAGAACTGCCGATCAGCTGTTGGAAAATCATCGCTATGCGATGATCTGTATGCAAAACAGGGTACCGATCATCACAAAGCAAATTTTCCCTATCTAAAACATCGCAATGCGATCGCAAAAGCGATCACAAAAAATTCATCGCTATGTGGATTCGTCGTTAAACGGGGCGCCCGTTAAGCAAGGCACCACTGTATCTGTTAAATATCGGTGCAGTGTGTATGCTGTTCTTAATATTGCCGGGTTTTATAGCTGTTATTACTATTAATTGGACATACATGTACATGTGGGAGCTTTGGAGGGATGAAAACCCCTTTTCTAGCCTTTCTGTAAGCTGCTTCCAACCTTCCCAGCAAATGTGTGTGTGTGTGTGTGGGGGGGGGGAAACTACTAGTAAAAAAATCACTCTGAAAATTTACAGAGTGATGCAGTGAATTTAACGGTGGGCCAATAAATCATGGGCCTATTACACAAACTTATTAGTAAACTATTAAAAAATATCCAGCTGCAACAGAAATCTTGCAGAAGGGAAAAAAAAGGGGGGGAAGAGTAGAACAAAACTCTGCCACTGCTACTTAAAATAACAAATACACCCACAAGAATTTCTCTATCCCGTTCTTTTTAGTGGTAATAAGGAGTGTTCGCAAGTTCTCAGCCTTCTTTGTTCAAGAACGCAAGGCCAATTAACTTAATTGCAAAAATGTGTAGTTATTTGAAAGTACTACTTAGAAACGTCTGGGATGAGGCGTTTAATGAGCCGCGTTAGCAGCTGTGTAGCCGAGACTGCTGTGAAAAGGGCACCCACTTGCTCATAGTTGCGGGGGATAAGAATTTATCCATTTAATTAACAGCAAATTCCGTGCTGATTGCCACCCCAGTCTAATTCGTGGGATTTGTCTGTTTGCTGTGGGTGAAACAGGCAAGCACGGACATTCAGAAAATTCAGGGAAAGCTATAATGTAAGGGAGAGAGAACAACAGCGCCGTGCTGTGGTCCATACTGTACTCATTGACGGGCACAGTGTACTGTGAAGACTCCGTCCTCCAGGTGAGGTTATCTGGAAGTTTAATCACGGCCACTGGACTTCTTTCTTATTAGCTTGAAATGTTTCGCTACTCATCTACGTAGCTTCTTCAGTCCGAGGAGAGTTGGTAGGAGAGCCCTGATAGAGCCTTCCCATAAGGAGAGTTGGTAGGAGACCCCTGATAGAGCCTTCCCATTGGCTTCACTTTTCCCTGGTCTGAATAGGCTGCTTAGATGGACAAAGGACTGGGGGTGAGGGATAATCCCACCTCTGCAGTCCTTCTCCACCCATTGTCATGAGTCGTCAACCGTGGTCTTTCCTCCCCATTGGCTTCGCTTCCCCTTGTATTTTGCAATGTATGCTGCACTGCAGGGGTGCCCAACCTTGGGTAACCCAGGCATCCTTGGATTGCAATACCCAGAAACCCTTGGCCACACAGTCCAAGAACACCAGTGTATAATGTAGCGGATCTGTAAAATAGGAGCCGTGGCTACTGAGCCCAAGATCATTGGAGAAGAGAAGCCTTCCCACTGCAAAGAGAGGAAACACAGAGACCGCAAGATAACGGACCAAATACCGGTTGAACCTTGAGAGGGAGGAGCATCCAGAGAACAAATAAGAGAGTTTTATGCTGAGTTTTCTACTGGCTTCCTAGATCAGCTGGAGTTGGGGTTTTCATGGTCTGAGCAGCTCACACATAAGAGTATGAAAGAGGAAGACTGGGTTTTGTTTCTAGAGTCAGCCCAGAGGTGTAAAATTTCTGGAAACTCTTCGGCCATAGAAGAAAACATGTTGCCTTTTTCAGTTTCTCCCTAGAACCATGTGGAATTTGGGGAGGAAATGAAATCTTACTGCGTTACAGTAAGAGCTTCTCTGCGGGATCAGTATCTGCTCTGGCCACGAGAGGGAGCCAGAGACCGTGCTGGGCTCGCTGTTGAAATAGTGTTCCGGATTTGTCAGCATCCTCAAGGGGGCTTGGCACTGATTCCCCCACAGATACGGGGGTCCTACTGTACTAACTTTTCCATCAAACCGAAACGTATTTACTGTTGTCGGAGCATAAAATGGCTTCGTTACTAACTTAATTGGCATATAAAACATAGGAGCAATCCCCCAAATAGTCTCTCCTCAACCGCCCTCTTCAACTCCTGTGAACTGAAGACACTGGCTTCCTTTAGACAGTCGGTCCATTTCATATTTTGGTCTTCCTCTTTTCCTGCTGCCTTCCGCCTTTCCCAGCGTGACGGTCTTTTCCAGAGAATCCTTTGCCTTCTCAGGCCTCGCCTTCAACCTTTCAGGTCTCCAGAGATCGTTCAGGCTCGATTTGATCCATGTAGGACCCCCCTGGTCTGCCTTTCTGCCAAGCTCTCCTCCTGCGCTACTTGGCCTGCGGTCACAAATTAAGTGTTGATGCCTCGAACCTTGTTCCTTTCCTGCAAAGGTCTCTCCCCATCCTGTGTCCTCACGACCCCTTCCACTGAAGCAGACGTGACCGTCTGGATTTGTCTAAAAGGGTCGCTCTTGCTCAGCAGCTCGGTGACCCAAGAACGGCGAGGTTTTCAGAGTATTTCGGCGAATAACTCTTTTGGGAACCCACCAACACTTACAAGGCTCCCTTTTGTTTTTCTGCCGTAGAAATCTTTAGACTTCAGGGAGTCGAGGGAAGCCGAGCCTCATCCGTTGTGGGAATACCCTTGCAAATCATTATCTGATCCTTTGGAAGTCTTGACCTTTAACTTTCAGCAAACCGTGCCAGAACACACGATCCAGAAAGAAGGCCTTCTGAGCCTGTCAAGGTGAGTAGCATGCAGTGGTTTTGTGAAACGGTTTCTCGGGAGTAGGGCTGCATTAAACTTGAGCGTGGTTGCAGGGTGGAGCTGAAAAGAGCACAGCCCCTACCCTTCAGAGAAGACCAAGGCCCCCTAAGCTGCCCTCTCTCACCTCCTGGATCTGCCGTCTGAGCATATCTATTAACTTTATGCCATGATTGTAAGGATTATAATATATGCAATATGCAAAGAGTGGTACGGCTAGGCATAACGCTTTGATTTTTGGAGTCGTTTTTCTGGTGATCATGTTTAGTGGTGATGACACAGGGTGAATGGGATTGTAAGGTCTTGACACTATAGCTGTGGGTGTTATGGTAGATTTACCGGGATGGGAGTAGATGTAGTGTGTACTGACACTGTACACTATTACTGTAGAAGTCATAAATAATAGTACAGTAGGACCTCCTTACCCGCGGGATCAGTATCCACTGATTCATTGATTCACAGTCTGAAAACATTAAAAATATTAATATAAAAATCTTAGAAAAATGTTTTTCTAGAGATGAAATTACCAGAACTAGCCACTGGAAGGAGCCATAAACCATGATGTGTAGAGCCTTCGCTATTAAAATAGTGTTTGCTATCATCTGTATTCTTCAGCATCCGTGGGGGGCTTGCATCAGATAACCAAAGTAATTTGGAAGCAAATTTAAGATGGCTATCAATGAGTCTGGAGGCCTCTTACCCAACCTGGCGCCCTCCAGATGTGTTGTGCTACAACTCTTGCCATCACCAGGCAAAAAGGCCCATGGCCTCCAGATGTGTGTCCCATCACATCTGGATACAGCGTGTTGGGGGAAAGTAAGTTTTTATTCCTGCAACTGAAAAGGAAAATTTTCATTCAAAAATCTTCTTTCCTGTAATTTTGGATATTTGTCATGATTTTAAAAAAATCCCCCACGTATGAAGCAACGTGCTGCTTTTGATGAATATATAAATTAGACTGTAACATACGATTGAATCGATTTACGGTGACGTTTGTTTTCCTTCTCCAAATACAACCATCTGTTCACTTGCTGATCGTTTCTCTCTGAACCTGCGCGCAGTGTATGATGTTATTACCGTAGTGAGTTACAACATTATTGCTGTACCCGCTGTAAAATATTGGAACACTCTGTACAGCAAAGATCCGTATTTGTCTGTGGAAAGATCCTTATTTAAACATCAAATGTATATTTTCGAGGCAATATGTTGTCATTTCCACAAGCTGACAAGTTGCATCAGTTGTCCTACGAGACCTTTAAACCAAAATCAAACTAACATTGGCTTCAAGGTTCGTGTTTGTAATGCTTTCAAGTGTCTGATGATGATTCCGACGGCCACGTTTCTGGCAAGCGAAGAACTTGGGCGTACCATTTGTGGGTAGCCATTTAAATGCACTGAAAGTGTTGAAGGTTCAAAGGTTGCTGTGCAGAAATCTTGACTCTTTAGCCTGGGCTCCAACCCACTTTCCCTTTCCAATTGTCTGTTTTTGACTGTGTTTCACATCTTGGAATATTTTCATAGTCTTGGGACTACAGAACTGAAAGAGACCCAGTAGACTGCGGGGTCCGGCGGCTGTCAAGGAGGCCCAGTGGAGAATCGAACTCTCCTCTCGGGCTCCACAGCCAGAGACCTAAGACCACTGAGCTCTTAATATATTATCTCAGTTACTCTCCTACATGCATCCTATGGCTTTCTTTTCCCAGTCCTGTTATCTCAACTGCCTGGATGAATGACTTGCTCCCAAGCGTTCAGCGTCCTGTAATGTAGCGTTTTTGGCTCTTTCATCTTTCCGATTGAGGCGGCCCGTGCGGGAAAGTGCTATTCGTATTTCAAAAGGAAGTGTTTAATGTGGAGGTTGGTCTTCCAAATTTGCAGCACATCAGTAGCTGAGAGTCTTTCTTTCCAGGCCCGGAAAGAGCCACGGAGCAGTTCTGTGGATGGACTACCATCTGACGGGCAGCCTTTCCATTAGCACAGGACTTCTGCAGGTTTCAAATGAAAAGGTATTGACTGAATTCTCTTTCATCTCTTACCACCCAAGGGGTGCAGGAGTAGAGAGAAAGTTGAAGTACAACCAAGCCCGTTCAACCTATGTTATTCCATTCTGGCTCAGCCTGCCAATTGTGCCAAAGAATGCAGCAAATCTGCGTCTACGGTATTTAAGTAGGAAGTATATCCTTGGGAGCAATCATAAATTCGGTTTTTCAGTATGTTTAGGATAAGCACCTTTGCTAAAACCTCCAAGCTTGGAAGTTACTGATTACAGCAAAGACATCTATGCTAAACATACTGAAAAACTGAATTTATTTGCTTGTAATTAATTCCTTTTTCAGTCAGTACACTATATTGTAACTAACCATTTTAGTTACTTCTATATTTATAGACTGTTCGTGGACTTACTGCCTTTCCAATTTATTTGCTTGTAATTAATTCCTTTTTTAGTCAGTACACTATATTGTAACTATTTTAGTTACTTCTATATTTATAGGCTGTTGGTGGTCTTACTGCCTTTCGTGTATTTTGTACTCCAGGCCAGCAGTAATTTGAGATCTTAAAAAAAAGGTAACAAAGAAATAGAGAGCCAGTGGCTGAAATCCTGCTCCACTTGGCATAATGTAAAGTTATGCCGGCAGAAGCTCATGGGAAGTTACACACAGGCAATCTTTGTGCCTGGTTGCACAACTAGTTGAACAAGTAGTTGTGCAAGTGTGCTCTGGAACAGCTTCTTCAATATGACTCAGCTTGGTTGCAAAATTTTGCAGTGGCCTGTGCAACTTCAAGTTACACAAATGTGGCTACACAACAGGATGATGTAGTGGAACGTGTGTCAGACTAGAACTCAGGAGGCCTGGGTTCAAATCCATGCTCAGTCATGGTAACGGGAGGGGGGGAGGCTTGGTATTGGTGAACCACTCCATGAACATCCCATATTCCTCGAAAACCCTGTTAGGGTCACTATAAATCAGAAGCACATGACTGAGAAGTAACTATTCAGTTACGTTTTGACTAACAAGAAAGTATTACTTTAAACAAAATGTAACTAAAATAGCAACTGGGGAAGGGCTTGAAACAGCAACAGAGAAGACTTTCTTTTTATTGCAACGTTCCAAGATCTGGGACATGGAATTAACATAGGAACCATCTCTGTCAGAGATATTGGAAGATAAATATCTGAAGTGAGAATTGGCCAGGGATCGCCTTAAAAAGCTGCATTTCGTTTTTTGCTCACCAAACAATGTAAGAGATTCTCCCAGGGAGAGGGTTTTTTTCTTTTATTTTCTGGCACCAGTTTTTCTCATTAGAGTTCATGTACTCAAGTGACAAGGGTAGGTTGACGCAGGATTGCAACCTTAGAACCCGTGGGCATAAAACAGGTGCTTGACCCCCTTCTACAGTTAATAAACATTTTTCTTCCCTCGATCATGAGGAGCATATATATATGCTCGTAAAGCAATGTGATGATTGTCTGCAAGGGAACCGGGGCCATAGTTCCTAACGAATGTGGGTATTTGCTCTCACGGCCGTTGTGCTTGTTCGTCCTTGCAGGGCTACTGTCAGTGGACTCCCCACTGCAAACAAGCGGTGTACTTCTTCAAATCCGTGACCGAACCAGAATCTCCAGCCGATGATCCCTCTGCAGTTGCGTACACTGTCGGCTTCAACCCAAAGAGAGGAGAAGTTGTCCTGGATTTTCAGCTCATAAATTAATGTGGTATCATTCTGGCAAAAATCATTCCTCCCCTGCCATGTGGGTAGATCAAAATAAATATATTGACAGATGGCTGTGTCAAACTTGTCTTCTTTGGGGGCGTGATTGCTTTTCTAGATCTCAGCCACGGTCCACAGGGGTGTGATGTTAGCAAACCGTACTAAATCGAAGCTAGCGGGACTCAGGTTGCGAAGATCATGCGGGGCAGACCAGGCCCTTGAGTTAAGCTTAAATTTGACTTTAAGGCAAGAAAGAAAGCATGAGCCGGAAAGAACTGGGCATGTTTAGCCTTGAGAGAAGAAGACTGAGGGGAGAGAGGAGAGCACTTTCCCAAGACTTGAAAGGTGGTTGGTTATCCAGAGGAGGGGCAGGATCTGTTTTCAGCCATCCCAGAGTGCAGGACACTTAGAGGAGAGCACTTTCCCAAGACTTGAAAGGTGCTTAACCAGAGGAGGGGCAGGATCTGTTCTCAGCCATCCCAGAGTGCAGGACACTTAGAAACTAGATTTCTGTTGAATATCGGAGGGGGGATCCTAACTGTTAGAGGAGTATGACAATGGAACCCATGGTCATTTAAAAGAAAATGGGACCACCCTCTGTCAGATCTGCTTTATTTGGGATTCCTGCACTGAGCAAGGGGTTGGACTCGATGGCCTTGTGGGCTCCTTCCAACTCCACACAGAGTGCAGGACACTTAGAAACTAGATTTCTGTTGAATATCGGAGGGGGGATCCTAACTGTTAGAGGAGTATGACAATGGAACCCATGGTCATTTAAAAGAAAATGGGACCACCCTCTGTCAGATCTGCTTTATTTGGGATTCCTGCACTGAGCAAGGGGTTGGACTCAATGGCCTTGTGGGCTCCTTCCAACTCCACGATTCTATGAGAAAGAGAGGATAGTAGCATTGCTGTATCCAGATGTCAATCTGATGGCCTTCAACTTGGTGCTGTTTAATAATATGAGATCTGGATTCCTGTTGGATAAAATTTGCTTATTGCTTCTCTAAGAAGCCAGGCTAGAACCTGACTGGTCCTAACGGCCCATTTTATTTTTTTTGGGGGGGGTGGCATCCCATAAGGTGTGCCACAACCGTTTTGCACTGCTAAAAGCCAGCCGCATGCACCGCCTGGATGTGGAAAATTCCACTGCTGGACTGCCCAAGCTGAGCAAAGTGTTGTCCTCCAGAGGTTGGCCTGCACCTCCCAGCTTCCTTCGCCAATTGTTTAGCTGGCTAAGGCTGCTGGGAGTTGTAGTTGAGTATCTAGAGGGACGTGTTTTTCCACTAGACACGAGAAGCCCTCGGGGACGCTTCAGAGGAGGCCGTTCTGTCCTTAAAATGCCATTCTTTGTTTTAGCGCCTCAGTCCGGCTTGTCCTGATGGGCCATCATCATCCAGTGGCATGATGCTGATTTCAGCAGCAGGAGGGGCTCTGAAGCAGGCACCCCGGGGCAGGCTGTGGGTTGCCCACGCCTGCTCCAGAGGAGTCTTTGCTGCTCTGTGGTTTTGCTAATAGGATGCTGTTTAACTCTTCCCAAGCTCACTATGCTAAAGGGGAAAAGAGGAGCATATCCTCAGACGGTCCTGGGCCTCATGAGCCAATGCCCAGGGTTGAGAGCTGACCAATTTTGCACCAGTGCTCTCTGAAAATCCCAGCTGTATCAACTCATTTGTTGGTAAAATCCCGGCATGTATGGGTGGTGGTAGCCCAGGGTGCTGTTGAGTGCACGCCATGCGCAGAAAAAGGAATCTGCTGCCAGCGTTTGAGCACAGTAAAGGATGAGAAGCTTTCTTGAGAGCTTTCTCCCCCCAACTCTTCTCCCATTTTCAATCTTCTCATGGGGAGGATATGAAGAATTCTCCCGTTCTCTGGACTGCGATTTAGAACCGAAAGGGTCCCATCTTTTAGAAAGCCGCTAGGGGGTGCCAAAGTCTTTTTTCCCCCTTTTTTGCAACAGAACCTGGGAGGTGTTCCTCTGGATTTGCAGACAAATACAGATGGCTTTTTTTTAAAAAGCCTGCCAGAGGAAATCGGAAACACATCTCGATTTTATGCCAGATTGCGAAACAACTCTCAGAATCTTTCAAGAAGTAGTCATGCCGGGTGAGGGATTCTGAGATGTGTATTCCACATTTTGTTATAGAAGGGACCCTGCTTCAAGCTTTTTTAGGTAGTCGTAGCAAACTCATTTCCTGGGTGTGGCTGTTCTGTGGTCGAAAGAACACCAGGCTAGGGCAATGTCCAGAAGCTTCCAAAATGTGAAGGGGAAAACGCTCCACTTGCAAAACAGCCCAGCAATGAGTTTTTGGGAGAAAAGGATAGGAGACCAGGGATTGGAATGAGGATGGTGCATTGGTGGAGCCCTTCATTGGACATGAACGCCTTCGAAGGACAGAAAAGGTTGCCCGAAAGGCTCCATAGCTCATAATTCCTTTCTCAACACGTAACAGCTAGAACTGAGAACGCCAAAGAACAGCCTGCTTTAGAATCCTCTTTCCTTGAGTGACACAAGGCCTGCGCATTGTTTGAGCATTGCTTCCAGTCTGATATTAGCATGAATGTCTCTTCGGAGTCTTGAGCATTGCTTCCAGTCTGATATTAGCATTAATATCTCTTCGGAGTCTTGTGGCACCATGGTTCAACTGCAGTACGGCAGCCAAAATCCGTGGTTCAACTGCAGTACTGCAGCCAAAATGGTGCTCACGACCATCTCAGGTAGCTGGCTCAAGGTTCACTCAGCCTTCCATTCCTTCCGAGGTTGGCAAACTGAGTGCCCAGATTGTTGGGGAGGCCTTGTATAATTGTTGTTTAGTCATTCAGTCGTGTCCGACTCTTCGTGACCCCATAGACCAGAGCACGCCAGGCCCTCCTGTCTTCCACTGCCTCCCAGAATTGAGTCAAATTCATGTTGTATAATTCAGCTTGCATAATTCACTTCTAAACCACCCCGGAGTGCTTTAAGCATTATGGGATGGTTTATAAGCAGCGTACTTTGCTTTTTTTTTTGTTTAGTCATTCAGTCGTGTCCGACTCTTCGTGACCCCATAGACCAGAGCACGCCAGGCCCTCCTGTCTTCCACTGCCTCCCAGAATTGAGTCAAATTCATGTTGTATAATTCAGCTTGCATAATTCACTTCTAAACCACCCCGGAGTGCTTTAAGCATTATGGGATGGTTTATAAGCAGCGTACTTTGCTTTTTTTTTAAGTGGAAATTAAGCATTATGGGATGGTTTATAAGCAGCATACTTTGCTTTTTCAAAAAGTGGAAAGCATCATCATCATCATCAAACTAATAAACTAACCACATACCTGATTGCATCCACATACCTGATTGCATAAGCAGTGGTGGCTCTGGATAGGAGATGCGGTAATGCATTAAATCAGGAGATTCAACCCCTACTTTTAGTTGAATTCTGACTGAGAGACCAAAAAACAAAAGGTAACACCTACAAGGTTAACTGTGAGCAATTTGCCTTTGAAGTGACAAGGCTGCTTGGCCAAGGGTGACTTTCCTTTCCCTGAAGCAAGGCGCAGCATGGCCGAAACAGTTTATGTCTTGACTGAATAATCAGGTGCATGACCGGGCAGGCAAGAAAGACTTAGGTAAAGGTAAAGGTTCCCCTTGACAATTTGTCCAGTCGTGTCCGACTCTAGGGCGTGGTGCTCTTCTCCATTTCCAACCCATAGAGCCAGCGTTTGTCCCGAGACAATCTTCCGTGGTAACGTGGCCAGCACGACTAGACATGGAACGCTGTTACCTTCCCACTGAGGTGGTACCTATTAATCTACTTACATTTACATGCTTTTGAACCACTAAGTTGGCAGGAGCTGGGACAAGCGACGGGAGCTCACTCCGTCGTGTGGATTCGATCTTACGACTGCTGGTCTTCTGACCTTGCAGCACAGAGGCTTCTGCGGTTTAGCCCGCAGCGCCACCACGTCCCTCTTAAGAAAGACTTACCCAGCACCTTATCATTTAGAGACAGCAAACTGGGCATTTATGGGATTCAGGACCATTTTTTCTTTGTGTAATATTTTTAAAAAACAAAATAAAACTTCTCCACACTTTAATTGAATTTGGGATGCTTCCGTGATCCACAGTAGAGTTTCTGTTGGTCTCTTTCTCTGTGTTTGTGGACTTCACGGAGACCTGGCCCTCTAGGCACTCTTTCACATGGTTCATGACTCTTCGTGTCCCTAGTTTTAGCCATTTTAGTTTTTAATTGGAAGAGCATAACCAGGACAAAGCTGCTTTAAGGCCGAAAGAGGGACGTCTAACCTCCCGAGGGCCACATTCTCAAAAATCAGAGGTGCTCAGATGAGAACTTATGACTGTGGGCTGGGTATTGGAGAGGCTGAAAGGAGAAACCAGGAAGAAGAGGTGTTTTCTTGTAGCATGATATACTGCTATGTGTGAGCTCATTAAAAGCAACACACGTCCTTCACTCAGTCTCAGTAGCCTGAGTTTTATTGATTTCCTTACCCTTTGATGGGTCACGAAAGGGGTTCATCTCTGTTCGCTTGTGCAGCTTCTTCAGCAGCCCATGAGAAAAGTAGAGAGAGAGAGAGAGTGTGTGTTTGTAAGACCACCAGACAGAACTGGATTTTTCAGCTTTGATTCCTGTGTCCCAATCAATAGAAACCCAGCCCCTGTGAGTGTCTGTGTATTTGATGGGTTTCAGCCAACCAGGAAGCCTGCAGCCAACGGGCAATCTATACTAACTGGTTCAAAGACCAGCCTGGAAGCAACAAAGGCAGTAAGACTCCCATCTATAAAGAAGGAAGCGTCAACTTAATGAAATTTTGTTAGCCTAAATTAGCCTTCAACCAAAGGATGACGTTTCAGCCTTGACAGGCTGTAAATATGATGCTTCTGCTATGGATTTCTCTTTGGAACCTTGAGGGACTCAGCTAACCTAACTTTATCAGTAGAACATCAACAATGGAGACCATCGTTTCTTCTGCACCCTTTCTTTTGATGACCACAGTCATTTCCCAGTAAATATGATGTCAATGCCAGAGTTACAACCACTGACAAAGATGAGTGACAGGTTCTCATGACTAGA